CGCCCGCCCATTGGCTCCCGCGCCCCCGCCGCCAATCGGGGCGCCGCGGCCTGCCAAGATGGCGCTGCGGCCGCGCCGCCGCTAACCCATCCCGGCCGGACCCGCTTCCGGGGCGCGGCGCGGCCCGCTCGGGACGGGTGCCGCGAGGGGGCGTTTCCGCGCGGCGGCGGCTTCCGGTGCCCTTCGCGTGCGGGGCGCGCGGCGCGGCCATGGCGCAGAACCTGAAGGACCTGGCGGGGCGGCTGCCCGCGGGGCCGCGCGGCGCCGGCACCGCGCTCAAGCTGCTGCTGGGCGCCGGCGCGCTGGCCTACGGCGTGCGCGAGTCCCTCTTCATCGGTGAGTGACCCCCCGGCCCGCCCGCGGCCCGGCCCGGCCCCACGCGCTCACGCGGCCCSTGCGTGTCCCCGCAGTGGAGGGCGGCCAGCGCGCCATCTTCTTCAACCGCATCGGCGGCGTGCAGCAGGACACCATCCTCGCCGAGGGGCTGCACTTCAGGTAGGGCCGCCCCGCGCGCCCCCGGCCCCGCCGCGCTGCCCGCCCGCTCAGCGCCCTGCCCCCCCGCAGGATCCCCTGGTTCCAGTACCCCGTCATCTACGACATCCGCGCCCGCCCGCGCAAGATCTCCTCGCCCACGGGCTCCAAAGGTGAGGGCGGGGCGCGGGGCGCGCGGCGGGGCCCCCGGGCGCCGCGGCTGACGGGCGGGCGCCCCGCGCAGACCTGCAGATGGTGAACATCTCGCTGCGCGTGCTCACGCGCCCCAACGCCGCCGAGCTGCCCTCCATGTACCAGCGCCTCGGCCTCGACTACGAGGAGCGCGTGCTGCCCTCCATCGTCAACGAGGTGCTCAAGAGCGTCGTGGCCAAGTTCAACGCCTCGCAGCTCATCACCCAGAGAGCCCAGGTGACCCTGCTCGCGACCTCCCCGCCTGAAATCGCYGCTCGTGTGCGTGGGAATCGCCCTCAAGATCATGAAGCCCAGCCATAAACCCGTCTCTGGGCAGCCCGTTCCAATGCAGAACTGCTCTTTCTTGTAGAAATTCTTCCCAATATCCAACCTGAGCCTCCCCAAGGGCAACTTGAGGCCGTTTCCTCTTGTCCGATCAGTAGTTCTTCCGCAGAAGGGACCGACCCCCGCCTCTCTGCAGCCTCCTTTCAGGCAGTTGTGGAGATCAGTGAGGTCTCCCCSGAGCCTCCTCTTCTCCAGGCTAAATGACCCAGCTCCCTGCGCCGCCAGCGGGCATAGGGAGTGCTCAGCAGGTAAAGGACGGCTTTACTGGAGGCAGAAGCCTCCAAATGGAAAAGGCGTCGTGCAGCTCTGCCCTGCTTRGTTTCATTTCAGTAGCGATACAGACACCACGAGCGTATCCCTAGGTTATGGGAAGGAAATGGGATGCTCAGTAGGGACCTAAGGGAAAAATAACACAGCCCTGTGGGGTGGGGATAGGGGAGGGAGAGCTGACCTGCCCCCTAGGCCACAGGTCATGGCAGAAGCTGCTTTAAAAGTGGCTGCTTGACCCTGCATGGGCTTCAGGAGAGCTGTCACAGCCAATTTAAATAGTTCTAAAGGATCTGGGGGGAAAAAAGAAAAGAAGAAAAAAGAGGTGGAGGAGTTGGAGTTGTTAATAAAGTGATGAGTTCTTAGTGATGGGTGCTCTTCCAGAGAACCAAAATGGAATGTAGGAAATGCAGGAAATGCTTCTGTTCTTTCAAAAAGCTAATAATTGCCAAGGAGGAAAAAATGCCTCTGCTGGAATACGCATGTGCTACAAACTTGTTTGCCAGGGATCTTGATATTACTTAAATTTCCTTCAGAAGGGTAGAGGGAAGATCTGCTGCTAGAGTGATTGGGAAAACAAAATACAACCAAAATACGAAGCGTCTCTCAGCTGCTTTTTGATCTGTGAGGACAAAGCAGCGAGGGGGACTGATTGGCCATCTCCTAAACTGAGCGGGGGGTTCAGGTTCTGTCCGGGGCTGTAKGGTGAGCAGTGAAGAGATTTGTTATAAATGTTGTGTAAGGAGAAAAGGGGGAATGTGACAGCAACAAACAAGCAATGTCTGCCTTTGATTTAGGTTTGTCAGGAGCAGTGAGGCCTGTTCAGTCGTCTCTGGACTTTCTGAACAATTTCTTTTTTTTTTTTTGCTTTGCTGTCATAAATTCTTSCAATACTGATGCCTCTAGAGCAAAAAATATTGAAGCCCTTCACGTTGAGGAGCAGCTGAAGTGACCGTGCCTAGCTCTGTGCTCACCATGGAGCACTGGCACCGTTACCGAATTGTGCTCGGCGAAGAGCTGCCGTAGATCGAGAGCAAATACCAGGAGGGTCAGGGGTGTGAGACTGCAGCAGCCCTTTCCATTTAAATCCACATTTTGTCTGGGACTGGTCAGCCTGGCTGATAAAGATACTGGCGGACCGGGAGATGAGCGAAAATACATAAATCAAAATATATAAAGTCTACTGTTATMCAAAGAGATGAGGAACATCTGGAGTAGCCACGCTAGGTGGGATGTGCCTGTAATGGGTGGTGGTGAGGTGCRGGGTTTCATGTTTTCTTAATGTGAGAATAAGGGTGAGGAGACAGGTAAAGCCAGAACAATGACATTCGAGATAGAGAAAGAAATTCCTGAGAAAACACACGTGGGAACTGCGGAACCATATCCCATGGGCTATGAAAATAGAAAACTCTGAAGGTTTGGGGTTTGTTCTGCAATGTTACTGAATTGCATGTAACGATTAACAGTTCTAAATGAGCTGAATTTACTTCTAAAAGTTTTGTAGGTAGTTGTGAGTATGCAATTTAGTGAAGAGATGCAAATTCAAAGGGAACAGGTTGTTCTGGGCAGTTCCTCCCTAAGGCCCAGTGGGAATGAGCTGTGGGGGGCTGTTGGGCTTCCCTGCTGGAGCCCATGGGAGCGGAGCAGCAGCCTCCCTGCCTCACTCTTCCCTCCACGCTCGCGTTTCAGGTGTCGCTGCTCATCCGGCGAGAGCTGACGGAGAGAGCCAAGGATTTCAGCCTCATCCTGGACGATGTGGCCATCACGGAGCTGAGCTTCAGCCGGGAATACACAGCGGCCGTGGAAGCCAAGCAAGTGGGTGAGTTGGGTTGGCACCGGGAAATGGTGGCTTCCCTCTACGCTCCTGTTGAACAGGGAGGCCGAATTTTGCCTGCTTGTTGCTATTGGATGGATGCAGCTGAAAAGCTGTGAATTTGGGCTTCCTTGGTATTATATAAGGATTTTACAAGTTTTTACGAGGGTTGTTTTAKAAGTTCTATCAGAAAATGCTGGCTCATTGCCAAGGAAATGGAACTTTAGTTGGACGGAGCTCTGCTGTAAAGGTTCTGCTTCCAAACTGGGACTGTCTCTGACTGTGGAAGTTACATTTAGAGGGCGCCAACCTTGTTGGTTGGAAAGCAGTGTGCTCAGATGCCCTCCTTGGTTGGGAGTGTGGCTCCAGAGCGGCCTCCTTCCCTTAGGGAAGCAGGAGCGTGCGGCCAGCCCAGCTGTGGGCTCCTGCTGGTGGGGGGCTTGGGAGGAGGGGATCTGCTTTGACCCTCGTGGCCATTGCCCATACAGCCCAGCAGGAGGCTCAACGCGCCCAGTTCCTGGTGGAGAAAGCAAAGCAGGAGCAGAAGCAGAAGATTGTTCAGGCTGAAGGGGAAGCTACGGCTGCCAAGATGATATCCTTTTTGGGGAGACTCTGCGGGAGGTGGCTTGTGAGTCTGGCAGTTCAGTACTGTGTGAACCTGCTGCATTATTTGGCTCACGGTCAGGAGGCTGGTGGGATGGCAGAGATCTCCTCAGGCTGTGTTTTTTTTCCTGCAGTAGTCTGCAGAGGGATTTGTCCAAGATTACAGGCTAGATCAGGATAGACTGTGAGCCTTGACTCTTCGAGCAAGGCTTGTTTCATCMGTTGTGTGGGATAATAACTTTATTATTCCTGGTTTGGAGGTCTGTGTGACTGGGATAGATCCTATTTCTCAAGACACTTGAGAATAGCTGAGAAAGTTCCTTGAGAGCAAGGACTTCTGCTAGGAGCTTTTTCTTTAACTCCTGCTGCCCTGCACCTCGGTGAAGCCCTGAGCAGGAACCCAGGCTACATCAAGCTACGGAAAATCCGCGCTGCTCAGAACATTTCCAAAACGGTGAGTGGTGGGCGCGGAATTCCTTCCTTCCTGCTGCTTTTCCCTGTGCGGCCTCTCCCAGCCCAGTGGCCACATGATGATTTTAAGGCGAAGGCGACTGTCCTGTCCCGACCTTTGCTCCTGCTCGGCCCTTCTGCGCTCGGAACGACCCTGCCGCACTTAGGTGCGAGCCAAGAGCCCCTGCTCGCCACGTAGCGAGGCCAGATCCACATCAGATTCCATCACCCACATCCAGCTGCGGCTGCCAAAAGCTCCTGGTTTCCTGCAGGCTGAGAAGTGGGGAACAGATAAGCCTGGGAGCAAAGGTCTGTCTGACAGGGAGAAAGAATGAGCGCTCCTTTTAGGAAGTCTGATGGCACTGGAGGGGGAATCCTGGACCTGGCAGAGCTATTTTGGGGAAATGCTTTGGCATAACTAAGATCTGAAGTAAATGCAAACAAGAGTGTATAGGWACTCTGATTCCAAATGTAAATATCACGCTAACAGCCATTAGTCCATTAGTTTAGTTGTCTAAAAGACTATCATGCAAGAAACTTCTTTTTAAGTGCACTTAGGCATAGCTTGAGCCTAACTTGCTTCRTAAGTGGTTCTTTTTTCATATTTTCCCTTTCCCCTCATTGGCAAAGGCCTGAGCAAGGCCAAACGTCATGTTCAGAAGTGCAAAGCTGTGTCTTGCAGAGGGGAAAGATTCTTTTTGAAGGCTCTTTTTCCCGGTTGTTCCTGCCTGTCTGTTTCACACAGCCTGTGTCACGGGTGTCTCTTGCAGATTGCAGCCTCACAGAACCGTGTGTATCTTACAGCAGATAACCTGGTGCTGAACCTGCAGGACGAGGGCTTTACCAGGTACAGGGGGCTGAGGGCCCTTGGGGGTGGATTTAGAAGCACCTTCCTGTGAAGCTGGCTCCCTTCCCGAGGCTCTCTCAGGGGGCTGCAGGATCTTTCCCCTGGGAAGATCTTGCTGCCCGAGGGTAGAGCCAAACAGGGAGCAGCCTCGCTTGCTGTAGAAACTAAGCGTGTTAAATCTAATCGCTTTACTCTTCTTTCTCCCCTCCATCCCCTTAATGCATCTCCTGACACACAGAGGAAGGTAAGGCACTGATCTTTATTCTGATCCTTTTCTGAGGACTTGGAAAGAGGGTGTGCATGTTTGCCTGGATCTGGGATGCCGCTGCCTTGCATCTTTCTGAGTGGAGAGAGTTTATTCAGCCCCCGTTTGTGATGTGAAACTTGCATCCCTTCCTTGCAGGGGCCACCCAAACAGCTGCACCAAGTAGCAGATGTGCAGGAACTGGAGCTATGTGTGTCCAGTGCAGAAGGAAGGCAGCAGTAGTGAACTGCGGAGTGTCCTGGGATTTATCCTGGGTGACCAAAGAGGGCTGCAAACAGGCAGCTAGCTGAGTGTAGGAAGCATTCTCTTCTCCTCGTTATTAACAATTTTCCCAAAACTTTCCAGGCCATGGCTCTTTGCCTCACTCCCTGCTCTCAGAGCTGGAGGAAGTTTGGCATCTGCCTAGTCTGTCCTGTGCTGCTGGATGAGGGAATGCCAGCCAAGTTTCCTGCTGTGCAGCTAGCAGTTTAAAATAGAGGAAGCCAGAGATGGTTCCTTTTCCGAGGGGTCTCTCATGCTTCGCATGTTACTCCTTCTGGCAGGCTTAGGGGCTTTGGAAAAGGCTTTTGTTTGCCAGGGTCGAAGCCCGAATCCTTTGGGTGTTGGCACCCAGTCCTGTGGGAAGGGTCTGGCTTAGTTTTGCCTGGGCTTTCRTGGCTAATGACTTGTTTGTCTCCCTTTCAGTGACAGCCTCCTACTCAAACAAGGGAAGAAATGAAGAATTAAAGTTTTCCAGGACCACTGGCACTGACCAGCAGAAGATGCCTGTGAGGAACTTAGAATTGCCTCCACTAGCATCATTTGCCCTCATTTTGGAATTCTCAGTCTAGCAGCCAGCTTTGGTTCTCCTGCCCCAGCTCCAGCTGTGGTGACCTAGGTGTGAGTTTGGGTTTTACCGCGGAGCAGCTGTAATCCCTTCCCTAACCCACCAGTTACATTTACTTACTGGTGAGAGCTCATGTGGATCTAGTAATTCCCCTCTAATAAATTTCACTGATGTCTGGATTTCTATACAGTAGCCCCAGACCTTTTTTTCCCCTTGCCCTAAGTTGTTGAGTTTTGCTGCCATCACCACCAGGCTTTTCTAGAAAATCTTGGTTCTCTTTCCCTCCTCATCCCAAGAGAATGGAGCTAAACTCAATAAAATGTAATTCATTGGGCACCTCGACCTGTTGGAATACCCATTAGTGTCACTGTTTGCTCAGTGATTCTTTCAAATATTTGTAAAAATTGAAACAACAACAAAAAAGCTGTGCCTGAGCATACTTGGTGACTAAAAAAAGAAGTCTGTGTTATTTTGGGGAGTGGTACTTTCACTTGAKTGCAAGCAAAATCAGGATGCTGTGGGAAAGAAGCGAGAGAAACGCCGCCTTTTTTGTTGCTGCATCGATCGCAGGGCGGGCTCTGGTGGGCGGGTGGCTGCATGAGKGACCAGGGCCGGTTGCTTCTTACCTTCCTCAGAGATCCTGAGGAGTGAAGCTAAGATGAGCTTAGATTCGCCTGTTTATCCACCCTGCAGGAGCATATTTTTGCTGACTCCCGGGCTCTGGTGGCTCTTTTTCCCAGAGCCACAGAATGGTTGAGGTTGGAAGGGATTAAAGCAAAAGGAGATGTTGCCTGAGAGTGAGTCTGTAGCCCAAGTGCTGGGAATGCAGCAGTGCCCACAGGTGGAACACAAGCTACTGCCTCAGGCTTCAGTTTTTGCTGTTTGTTCCTTGTCTCCACAGTGACCGCTCCCCGTGTTTGGGTTTCTTAGCAATTGCACTTGTTGGCTCCCCTGTAAGTGAGACTAAAGTCTAAAAGTCTAAAAACCAGGCCAAGGTATTGACCCATTCTAACACCAGCAAGAATGGGTTGCAGTGCTCRGGGATTTACAAAATCAAAGACATGGTGGTGTCCCCACCACAGAATTAGTAGTGTCCCCCGGGGGTCGGCACTGCGCTCACTGCTGTTCATCTTCTAGGCCTCGGATGAGGGCCCAAGTGCACCCTGAGCAAGTTTGYGGACAATGCCAAACTGAGTGGAGCTCTGTGCTGCCATYCAGAGGGACCTGGACAGGCTGGAGAGTTGGGCAGGGAGGAACCTCATGAGGTTCAATCAGGACAAGTGCAGGGTCCCGCACCTGGGGAGGAATAACCCCAGGGACCAGGACAGATTAGGGGTCGACCTGCTGGAGAGCAGCTCCGCAGAGAGGGACCTGGGAGTCCTGGTTGACACCAAGTTACCCATGAGCCAGCAGTGTGCCCTCGTGGCCAAGAAGGCCAATGGGATCCTGGCTGCATCAGGAGGAGTGTTGCCAGCAGGTCAAGGGGGGGGATCCTGCCCCTCTACTCAGCTCTGGTGAGGCTGCACCTGGAGTATTGGGGGCAGTTCTGGGCTCCCCAGGACAAGAGGGAYGTGGAGCTTCTGGAGAGGGTCCAGCAGAGAACAACAAAGATAATTAAGGGATTGGAACATCTCTTGTATGAGAAAAGACTGAACCTGGCCTGTTTAGCCTGGAGAAGATTGAGAGGAGATCTGATCATTATGTATRAGTTCCTGAGGGGAGAATGTAGGGAGGATGAGGCCAAACTCTTCTTGGTGGTGGCCAGTGATGGGACAAGGGCTAATGGGTATAAATTAAAACACAGGCAGTTYCATCTCTACATGAGGAAGAACTTCTTTCCTGTGAGGGTGCCAGAGCCCTGGCACAGGCTGCCCAGGGAGGCTGTGGAGTCTCCTTCTCTGGAGGTCTTCAAACCCGCCTGGATGCCGCCCTGTGCCCCGTGCTCTGGGTGTCCCTGCTGGAGCAGGGAGTTGAACTAGATGATCTCTAGAGGTCCCTTCCAACCTCGACCAGTCTGTGATTCTGTAGGTATGCCCCACTGCAGTGATGGCAGAGCGTAGCCAGGCCCGTGTCTATTTTCTCCCTAAAGATGAAATTGCAGTGATGCATAGAAAGGAACAATCAGGCACCACAGTTAATTACTCTGTTTGCTGAAGCAGCCCTTATTCATGATTGTCCAAGTCAGTTGAACACCACCAAAGACCGAAGACAAAATGATCATGGATTTCAGAGGGAAAAAAAAAAGAAAACTTTTCCAAATACCATCACTCTAGATACAAAAATCTGCTCCTGAGCTTGACACGTTCTATGCTTGCACTTAGCTGCTGAAGAACAGCACATAAAGCCTCAAAAAAGTAGTCATTAGACTACTTAGTCATTAGTCAGTTAAGGAGACTGAAGGTTGCAGGAAGACAAGAAAATCAAGTGACGAGCCGTTCTTGTAGGCCTCTGCAGGGCTGTATGTGAAGGCAAGAGCAGCCCCCTATGTGTGTGTGTGGGGGGGTGTATCTGTGTGTGGGTGTGGGTGTATGAAGACATGGAGAAAACTTTAGGGACCCAGTATTCAAACTAAAACATGTTTATTTACAGACAAGGACAAACATAATTATCATATCAAATTCTGGTATATTTACACAACCCAGAGAGCGGACAGGCAAGAGAATGAGGTGAGGAGGGTTGGGGTTAAGGAAGAAGGAAGTTTTCCATTGAATCACTGACAAGCTGGAAGGAGCCAAAATGTCAGACTTTTCTGCAAGGTGAGCCTTTAGGTAACCAGAACACCACCAGGCTAAACTCCAACCCGCAGCTATGGGTGGAGATGTAGCTCCTGGGAGGCTCTTCCCAAGAGAACAGCAGAGCACAAGCGGATGCAGCAGAGGTGAGTGTGGTCGCCAGTGCTCYCAGAGAAAGGAAAGACTGGAGGTGAATTCTTTCCTTGTTAATGAATGCTGAAGGGGGCAGGGAGCGACTTAGCTGGCCTGTCCAAGCAAGGAACCAAGAGGTCAGTCAGCTGAGCTGGAAAGCAACATGTTTCATAGCACTGAAATATTGCGTGGTAGAAACGGGGAAGGTCTAGTTTCAGTCCACAAGGAAGGGATACGAGAGGCCAGCCTGGACATGAACTCCAGTCCTGTACCCAGGTTCAAACTCCCAAAAGGGGCTACYTGCAACTTATGCTTATTTTTTTTTTAATGAGCCTTTCAGTTTCTTCTCTGAGGAGCGCTGTTTCTTCACCTTCTCCTCCTTCTTCCCCAAGTTCTCATAAACCGCTGACTCCTCTTTCTGCCTGTAAGACCAAGCAAAAAAGTGAACAGGAGGAAAACGCTTGCCGAGCCCACAGGCATAACAGAAAGTCTCTGCTTTAGGGCAGTTCTTACCTAGAGGATTTTCGCATGGCCTTGGCATGTGTGTTCCTCACAGCAGGTGGGTAGGTGATGTTGCCGTACTCAGACTCGTTGGGCTTCCCTTTCTGAGACTGCAGGAGAGAAAAGCCAAGCTGAGGAGAGTGAGGTCTGTGTGGAGCAGGAAAGATCTCGTGGAAGAGCTACGGCTCTTACCATCATTCTAGGATGTGGGTGGAGTGGGTGGATTGCTGAAGTCCTGGGGCTCTTGGTGCACTCCCCCCACTGCTGTCACAGAGGACAGGTAGTGCCTCCCTCTATGTGAATGGTGGGGCTACTCATTTCTGGAAGCACTGACATGCCTGATTGATAGTGCTTTGTGCCAGCTAAAGAATATTAAACACCAGCTGGTGGATGCTGCCAGAGGCTACAAGGAGAGCTAAAACATGCCACTTTACTTACTAGGAGAAAAGATTTCCTACACTTTCCACCTGGGTTTGGGAAGCAGCTACAAAACCAGAATGGGAAAGACAAACAGGAAAGCAGAGGGCAAAGTCTATGTCTGTCTTTGATTCAGCTTCTGACTAACCAGTACTTWGTGGAGAAGTTACACCAAACGTGGTTGAAATAACTGCTTTCAAACCTGTTGCTCTGTTTCCTGGCTCAGAAAGGGTTGGAGCTACCAATATTGCCCACTGAATTTTAAAGAKTGGGAACAGGATTCAAATCTCAGTGTGCCATTACAGTCTGTGCAGATCCCAATGTTGCTTTAAGGCTCAGGAAATAGAGCAGTTGGGCTCCAAGCCTGCATCATGAGGGGCATAGATGCATGGGGTGGAAACGTAGAGCTCCTTTTCTCACCTGGATGACTTCCAGCTTTTTCTTGGTGGTTTCTATGAACTGGCAAATGGCCATGTAGATGAACTTGTATTGGGCCTCTGTCTGCACCATCCCCGAGCGCTGTTCCCTCACCATCTGGATGGTCTTCTGGATGTCAATGTCACAGTCCAGTCCTAGCAAGGGCACCACAAATGCTTACAGGCATCTTCCGTTCTCCCATTCTCCATCAAAAGCAGGTGCAGAGGAGCTCAGCTGGGAGCTCTCTGCTGCCCTTCATGCCTTTCACAGAAGTCCCTCCTTCCTGCTCATCAACTTTCAAATCTGGCCCTGGCTGAAGAACCCAACCTCAGAGAAGGCTAAGGCTGCACTAAGGGGATTCAGCTCAGATATCCAGCATGGCAGGATCTCTCCCATTGATACTCATGTGGGACTTAACGGCACAACCCTCCTGGGTAGGTTAGAACATTTTAGGCCACCACAGAGTCTTCTTACCCTTGGTGGAGATTGTTTCCACTATCATATCAATGACGATGATAGTCCCAGTGCGGCCAATCCCAGCACTGCAAGGAGAGGACAAGCAGTGGTCAGACTTGCCTGTATTATGGGATCTATGCTCACGCAGCTAGGCAAGTAACAGGGCCCTGAAGCAAAATGCAGCCGCTTCTGGGAAGGAGGCAGCACTTGTAACAGTAGTTCAGCAATGCCACACAAGAGTCGGGGATGCGACAGGCATCACTCACTTGGGGAGATGTCAAACAGACAAAAGAAAGTCTCTCTGAGAGCCCACCAGCCCACCAGGGCTGGTGTGCTCTTCGCTCACAACTCCTGGGGAATGCCACATGCAACAGGACAGAGACCTTCCCTGCCTCCCCAGATAGGGGAGATGGAGAAGGCTTCAACCCCAGCCTTTGTACCYACCTGCAATGTACCAGAATGGGCCCGGCATATGGGATGCTCTCCTGCTTCTGGTTGATTTGATCGAGGAAGCTGAGCACTCCTCCTGGCTCACTGGGGACGCCATGGTCAGGCCAGCTCAGGTACTGGTAGTGCC